CATCTGCATAACTCAAGTTATTGATGAGTCTCTCTCTGATCCTGATGCCACACTCCTTTTCATAGAGTCCAGCTTCTAGAAATAATTTGCTCAGTATACAGATAAAATAGATTTGGAGACAGAATACAACCTGTGACACACTCCCTTCTTAATTTTAAACCATGCAGTGCTTCCTTGATCTGTTCTACCAAAACTCTCCTGGTCCATGTATAGGTTTCTGGACCTACATAAGCATAATTAAGTTCTCTGAGCCTACTGTTCTTCTCAATATCAGCTACAACTTACTATGATCTACACAGTCAAATGCCTTTACATAGTCAATAAAGAACAAATAGGCATTCTTCAGGTATTCTTTATTTTCAGCTAGGATTCATCTGATATCCACAGTGATATCCCAGGGCTACGGCCTATTCTAAATCCTGCTTGAAATTCTGATAGTTTCCTATCGACGTACTATTCTAGCTGCTTTTGAAATAGCTTCAGCAGTATTTTGCTTGCATGTGGTATTAATGATATTACTCAATAGTTTGCCCATTCTGTTGGATTATCTTTCTTTTTTTAATTAAAGTTTATAGAAAACTTAGATTTCCATTCATTCATTGTTCCACATTTCCTCACCCCCCCCCAGTTTGCCTTTCTCTTTGAAAAGAAATTGTTTCCATTGTTGTACAATGTACTTTACTATACAGCTCTTATTCTGTACTGTTGTCATGCAGATAATTTGTTGTTGTTATTGTTATGTGCCATCTAATTGCTTGTGACTCATAGGAACCCTGTGTGCAACAATCCTAAACCCTGCTCTATCCTGTCCAAATTGCACTGCCTCTGACACACCTATCCCGATTACCCCAGTCACTGAATAAATCCACCTCATAGAGGGTCTTCCCCTCTTGTGCTGTCCTTCCACCCTCCCAAGCATGATGTCTCTCTCCAAGGACCTGTCCCTCCTTAGAACATGTCCAAAGTATGTCAGATGAAGACCCAGAATCCTTGCCTCCAAGGAGCAGCCTGCTTTGACCCTCTCCAGGAGGAATGTTTGTTTTCTTGGCAGTCCATGGTACATTCAGTACTCTTCTCCAGCACCACAGCTCAAAGACATCAATTCTCCTTCTATCCTTCCTAGTTCAGCTCTGTGATGTATAACAAGTGATTGCAAAAACCATGGCCTGTATCAGGCGCACCTTAGTCTCCAGAGTGACACCACTGCTCTTCAGTACCCTGCAGAGGTTCCTAACAACAGACTTTCCCATCGCAATATGTTTTTTTATTTCCTGGCCACTGGTGCCAAGAGTGTCGACTGTGGAGCCAAGCAGACTAAGGTTGTTAACAATCTCAGTCTCTTCACCATCCATCCTAATGCTGCCAGTTGGCCCAGTGGTGAGAATCTTTGTCTTCTTGACATTGAGCTTCAATCCATACTGAAGGTTGCAGTCTTTGACCCTCTGCAGCAAGCATTTCAGGCCCTCCTCAGTTTCAGCATGCAGGATTGTGTCATCTCCATAATGCAGATTGTTAATAGATCTTCCACCAGTCCTGACACCACACTTGTCCTCATAGAGCTCAACCTCTTGGATAATCTGTTCTGCATACAG